TTTGTCACAGGTCGGAACCTTGCATGATATGTCCAATAAGTTCCATAATTTACATATAGGTGACGATTTCTTGCTTAATACGTTTAGAATATCATTATTTTACCAGAAACCTTTGTCTAAATCTAGAGGTTATGTTTATGAGGAAGGTATCCATTGCTGTAATATGATTGGCTGCCTTAGGTCACATGCATAATTTTGACCAATCATGATTCTTCTAGCAGACTGTGGCAATAAAGTGTCATTAGAAATGAATATTTATCAAATAAAATGGCTCTTGAAAATACTCTTGGCAAGGGTATACAGATATTGTTGATGTTCAGAGCTTTCGAACAATACCCACTGACAATCGAATCACCTCGCATGTTATTCATACAAAGCTCGAAAATGGAGGTATGACCCACTGTTGTGTCATGTTACCGAGCAGTAGCATCCCATCTACTGCGGCGAAACCCCAGTGCAGAGAACCAGACACCTTTGGTTGTTACGGTTGGGACTGCGACTGCACCATCTCCCATATTCCAGACCCGCGTTCGATTTCTCAAGACGTTTGCAGATCTCGTGTACTTCAGTGATACCTCGGGAATCAGCGAACCAGCCTACCAACTACGGGAAGTTGGGGTCCTGGTGCCTTGTTGACCGGGACTCCAGACACAAGTCACAAGAATGCGTCCCTTCTTCAACTAAGATAAACCAAGAGGTCCGTGAAGAAGGCACATAGAATGACCACACATATATCAGATCAAACAACTTCTAGATATGCTGTCACATTATTATTGAGTGAGAATTCAGATGTATTGAAGGTGTCGCCGATCCAACCCGAACTGGTACGATGCGGCGATCAAACATTCATTAGTATCACTTGATGCGTCGAAACAACATTCAGCGAAATGGCAAGATGCAGTGGTTCCTCACAATTCAACGATCCCCTTGAATTTGGACATCGGAGAACTTGAGACGACTTTTACATCCTTCGGATGCATACCAACGGAACGCCGATCCCTAAACCGCCAGTTTCATTGTGGAACTTGATCCTACAACTTTTTACGATCACTAAGGTTCGCCGATCTGACTCACATTCGTTGAAATCCCAAACGGCTCCTCCATATATCGGACGCCTCCATCAGCCTGAGGTTCTGCAACAATCTCTCATGAATCGGCAATCTCTCCGGATATCTCCAGACATTTGGTGATCCTATCAACATCAGTGAATTCCTCGCTCTCTGTTCAGCCATCCTTGACGATTACGACCCAGTCCTCGGCTGCACCACCGATCAGCGGTTACAACCGTTCACCAATCCACATTCAAGAAATCCCTTTGTCTCGGCTACTGCGTCTAAGCCTTTTAACTTGATGTTAGGTTCGGCAAGCCTGTCTGCCTCGGCGATGCCGCTCATCTCAACCTATTCGTCAACCTCACCCTAACATGGACTTTGCCTTGATGGTGTGAGTCATGGCGACAACTTTGAAGCAAGTACAGCAACTAGATATGTTTCCGTATCAGAGTCGTCAAGCCCTACCCCGAGTTCGCCGATCTCACCCGGCAACGTTCAACGAACCTCCTGTCCTTCTCCCATGGGGAGACCCCATTATCGTATCTACACTCAGCTCGGGCTGCAAACTACCAATTATTGAATCTGCACTGCTGATGAGCAATCTGATTTGGCGAACCTACCCCTCGGTGCAGATACCCGCTCTACAAACCACTACTATGGAAGGTCCTCCCGTTAGTATTTCTACCCCTCGGTGCTGATACCCGCTCTACAAACCACTACTATGGAAGGTCCTCCCGTTAGTATTTCTACCCCTCGGTGCTGATACCCGCTCTACAAACCACTACTATGGAAGGTCCTCCCGTTAGTATTTCTACCCCTCGGTGCAGATACCCGCTCTACAAACCACTACTATGGAAGGTCCTCCCGTTTAGTACGGCCCATGGTTATTAACCCACATCGCGAAACACATCACTCAGTCCTGCACCGTTGAGGCATGGTGTTTGAGGCTTACATCGACGATTGTATACAAGTTCCAAGAGATCAACACATCCTCCTACAACATCTTCCACGAGTACTACTGGCCAGCTCAAAGTTGGTTCATCGATCTGATAAGTCTCACCGCTCCAGACCCAGAGGCTCTACCCAACCGAGACAATGTATTGGCCCGTCCTCACTCAGATCAACTACACTGGATCCTACAGACGTTGCATCTTCTGGTGGATCTTCCAAAAGTTTTAATTGCGAAAGGGTACTCCAGAAGAGTTGCTGCTGCAATTACTTCGGCACATGATACTTCTACACAGTCTCTGTACAGTGACAAGTGGAAGAAATTTGAAGAGTACTGCAGATTGAAGGGCATACCATCTCCCACTACAGCATCTGCTTATGTTGTTGCTGAGTACATACAACATCTGCATATGTCGAGGAAATTGAAGGTGTCTACCATTGCCACCTATTTAGCAGCCATGAACAGGGTGATAGCTAATGCAACTGGCTCTAAGATTTCCACTGTGCCTGAACTCCAGTCCATTCTGCACTTATACAATCAAAGAAGTTCCAGCCTCCTGCCTGGGACCTCTCTGTCGACACCTCATCTCCGATGACTATGAACCTCTAGAACTTTGAGTGCATCACTGTTAAGACCTTCTTCCTGGTAGCTTTAGCTACTGCTGCACGTATTTTGGAACTCCACACTCTGGACGTCAACTGAGTGCATTTCGAGAGGAAGAGGCACAGCAGAGGTTTTCTGCATCTCCGATGGGACTTCATAGTGAAGAACCAGCTGCCAACATATCCGGTTGCCCACTATCATCGGGCCTGATGACATCCTTCTGGATGTGTCTACTGTTATGTATGTGAATACGAAACTAACGCGTATATCGTTATGAGTTATCTCACTTGGCCACGCATGTCATACAACAGTTCCGGCAATAAAGTTGTCTTGTACCTGTTACCCTAGTGTTCAGTTGTGTTTGTGATGAGTTCTTGTGTATAAGTTATATTTGTGTTGGAACCCGAGCCTGGGGACACTAAATCTACCATCCAGCAAGCCTACACATTAGCCGGTCTTCCCCCTCCAGCAGTGTCAAATCCTCTTGAGACTCAGACCTTGGCGCCTACCATGGCTCTTCACAGCAGCTGTTTGCTGACTTCCATCATGGAGGGATGTATCTGGAGATCAGAGACAGTCTTTGCTTCCCACAACCTACGCGACCCATCAGTCACTGGCGTTGAAGACCCACCAGTTTGGTCCCCTGGCACTGGCGCAGCAATTTTCCTTGGCCCAGCAATGCAGATAGTAACATCCTCAGTTCACAGTGGCCGTGTTACCTTGTATGAAGTGAATGAAGATGTATTGAACTCCATTTTCATTCTACTTTCCCTTGGGCATTAGATCTACCTCAACTGGTTCTACGCTGGGTCGTTGCAGTACAGTCACCTGAGTGACTTCGTCATAGACTGAGTCTTGTATTGTACTCCGATGCAGAGGTGACCGTCATTGAATTGTGGATACCAAATTCCAGTGGATTTCGATGTGTTCCACTCCAAATTGCCGGGCACATCCTTGACTAAGCTTGTGCAATGGAGCAAGGGTAATTAGAAGTCATGTTAAACTGTTGAGCGTACGGGGAGGTTTTCGCCTTTCACATTAAATGTGTGATCGTGGGAGATGGTTTTGAAGCAGGGGCTGGCCAGATTCTAGTCACATTTACTCGGGAACGCCCACTCCTTGGGAGATTTTGTGCTGTGTAAGCCAAAGGGTTTGGAAGAAGCAACCCATCACAAGTATAGGAGTTATGCACTCAATCAGGAGACTGTGCTCATAACAGGCCTCCTTGTGCAACATCATCTCATCACCATGGTTGTTATCCACTCAGACACAGGGTAATCTGTGGCCCACCGTCCAACCGTGGGATAAGTATCATCCGTCAGATAGGTTAAGTTTAAACATTTGAAATTTTTTGCTATATTGTGTTGAATGTAAAGGCAAGTTTGCTATGTTGTGTTGAATGTAAAGACAAGTTTATTGCATTGTGTTGAATGTCAATTCAAGTTTACTGCATTGTGTTAAATGTAAAGGCAAGTTGCTATATTGTGTTGAATGTAAAGGCAAGTTGGCTATATTGTGTTGAATGTAAAGGCAAGTTGGCTATGTTGTGTTGAATGTAAAGACAAGTTTACTGCATTGTGTTGAATGTCAATTTAAGTTTACTGCATTGTGTTGAATGTAAAGGCAAGTTGGCTATATTGTGTTGAATATAAAGGCAAGTTTGCTATATTGTGTTGAATGTAAAGGCAAGTTTACTACATTGTGTTGAATGTAAAGGCAAGTTTACTGCATTGTGTTGAATGTCAATTTAAGTTTACTGCATTGTGTTGAATGTAAAGGCAAGTTGGCTATATTGTGTTGAATATAAAGGCAAGTTTACTACATTGTGTTGAATGTCAATTCAAGTTTACTGCATTGTGTTGAATGTAAAGGCAAGTTGGCTATATTGAGGTTGAATGTAAAGGCAAGTTGGCTATATTGTGTTGAATATAAAGGCAAGTTTACTATGTTGTGTTGAATGTAAAGGCAAGTTGGCTATATTGTGTTGAATATAAAGGCAAGTTTACTACTATGTGTTGAATGTAAAGGCAAGTTGGCTATATTGAGGTTGAATGTAAAGGCAATTTGGCTATATTGAGGTTGAATATAAAGGCAAGTTGGCTATATTGTGTTGAATATAAAGGCAAGTTTACTACATTGTGTTGAATGTAAAGGCAAGTTTACTATGTTGTGTTGAATGTCAATTCAAGTTTACTACATTGTGTTGAATGTCAATTTAAGTTAACTGCATTGTGTTGAATGTAAAGGCAAGTTGGCTATATTGAGGTTGAATATAAAGGCAAGTTGGCTATATTGTGTTGAATGTAAAGGCAAGTTTGCTGTATTGTGTTGAATGTAAAGGCAAGTTGGCTATATTGTGTTGAATATAAAGGCAAGTTTACTATGTTGTGTTTCAGGCAGGGGCAAATGTCATCATTATCAGGAAGTGGCATCATCAAAAGTGACAATCCAAGGGAGACAATCAGCTACATGCGCCACATAGTGGATGAAGTGCTCAGAAAGCATCACTGGAGCGATGATCTCTTGCATGTGCTTGTTGTTAATCCATGTCATAGGAAGGTGTAAGCCACATCTTTACATGATGTTGGCTTGTTTGTCGGAGGAATTTTTTTAATGTCACATGGTATCAAGCCCATATTTTATGCTGACGTTAAGCGTTAAACTGCACTATTTCTTTTGTCCTTGATTTCTGCTTTATTTTCTTTCCACATTTGACACTGCAGATGTCATCACTCATGTTATCGTCTTATACAGGAGTAGTTGTTTTTTGTTTGAAAATATTTTTATGATTCAGTTAACAGCAAAGAAATTATCAAACGCTACATATGACATATGTTATATTTGGGATTACACTTTCTTAGTAAAGTACAGATTCTAGTACTTTTGTTGGGTTGATTCCCATCCGGGATTCAAACCCACGCCCTCAGAGTCAGGCACCTAATCACCAGCACACAAAGTCAGATGCCTAGACCGCTCAGCCACCGCGGCTTCCACAAAAATGGAAGTCGGACAACTGGTATGAAATACATAATACCATTTAGAAAGTGGTCAAATGTAACATATACTGAACCGCAAAAGAAATGCAACTTACTTTGTGAAAAACAAGCGCTTCAAATAAATTTATTATAGGGGGAAAAACTATCCCATGATGAAACCACTCATTCCAAGATGGTTTTGCCATTGTTTCCGGTTATTCTTGACCATATTGCCCAAATGCGATTCTTTTCATGATTTTTGTGTTTTCTGCACGATTTTTTCACATTTCACACAAAAATGTGTGCATTTTCATCCAGTTGAATCCTTTATAAGGCACGTCATGAAAAAAACACCATACACCACAAAATTGACTTGAAGAACGCTGAAAAAACATGCTACGTCTAACGCAAAAGCAGCGAGGGATCACAATTGGAATGTTGCTGACCGGATCAACAGCAACTGCGGTGGCCAAGCACTTCGGATGTCACGTGACATAAATCACCAGACTCTACGCAAGGCATTGACAAACCAGAAATGTTCAAGACCAGCCACGCTCAGGACGTCCAAGAGTAACAACGCCAGGTCAAGATCGTCACATCCGGATTACTCATCTGCGTAACCGACAACAACGAGCATTGCAGACGGCTGCAACCATTCAAGGGCCACACCATAAAATTTCTGCAGACACCGCTTGTCGTCGACTGAGGGCAGCAGGGATCAGATATTTACACAACGTCACCGCCACCGTCGTTTACAGTGGGCTTGACAAGACCAGCGTTGGCAACGTCAACAATGGCAACAAGTGTTGTTTTCTGATGAGTCGAGATTCCACATGTCACACGCCGAGGCTGATTCCGTGTATGGAGACGACGTTATGAGCGTTATGCCAACAGCTGCATCCGCTGGGGATGAGGTAGCGTCATGGTGTGGGTGACTGCCGTAGTCTACAGAAACGAAATTCTTCAAAACCACGTTTACCGCTGTTCCAGGCCCAGCCTCAGCTCCAGGTTTTCCAGCAGGACAATGCTCTTCCTGACACAGCACGGGTCTCTATGGACTTCCTGAGAGGGAACAACATTACTGTACTGCCTTGGACCTTTCTGTCCCCGGATATGGCACCGATCGAGCATGTGTTGGATGAAATTGGAAGACGGATACAGGCAGCTGGTCCACCTCTAAACCTTAGGGATTTGGAAGCCAGATTGGTCAGAGAATGGAATCAAATGCCCCAAGCCTTCTTCCAGACACTTGTTGACTCAATGAGACGACACTGTACTGCGTGTATTGCAGCCAATGGGGGTCACACCCGCTACTGATGGAGACACTGTTTCATGACATTTTTTGTGTTTGGGGGTGGAGTGGTGACAAGTGCTTTTTCAATAAACATTAGTGTTGTTTTCGCTAGAGACCACTACCCATTTCTTCAACGTTTACTTGTCTGTTGTTTATTCATAACGTTCAAATTATGTGTTCCATAAATTAACATTTATTGGCATTTGCAATTCAAGTTGGGTTTCTTTTGCGGTTATATCTTTATCTGTATATTCTTTTTTGTTATATTTGGGATTACACTTTCTTAGTAAATTACAGATTCTAGTATTTTTGTTGGGTTGAGTCCCATCCGGGATTCGAACCCACACCCTAAGAGTCAGGCACCTAATTGCCAGCACACAAAGTCAGACGCCTAGACTGCTCAGCCACCACGGCTTCCACAAAATTGGTGTGGTGTGGGTTCGAATCCCGGATGGGAATCAACCCAACAAAAGTACTAGAATCTGTACTTTACTAAGAAAGTGTAATCCCAAATATAACATATGTTACATTTGACCACTTTCTAAAATGGCATTGTGTATTTCACTACATATGTGGATCCTGCTGGTGAGTTTAAGTGAGGAAAACTTGTTGCTGATTTGAAGCCCAGTCCAATGCATCAATTCCTACCTCAAATGTCTGTCTCAGGAACAATGCTTCCAACAGACTTTCTTTTGCTTTCCTGACAATCTCATTTGTAACCAATTATAACAATATGTAGTGTAACACTGTAGTCTGTGTGTAACTTTAGTGCTGCAGGGTACAATGACCTTGTTACTTGATATTTGTTGATCATGTTGGGTGAACTGCGAAGCTGTTTTAATTTGCTACTACTCAGACACAGTGGGTGGCAGTAGGCAGCCATAGCCTTAGAGTGGACCTTGGTTTATATGGTAAAGGAGGACCTTTCTAAAGTGGGTTGCAGTAGGCAGCCATAGCCTTAGAGTGGACCTTAGTTTATATGGTAAAGGAGGACCTTTTTACAGTGGGTTGCAGTAGGCAGCCATAGCCTTAGAGTGGACCTTAGTTTATATGGTAAAGGAGGACCTTTCTAAAGTGGGTTGCAGTAGGCAGCCATAGCCTTAGAGTGGACCTTGGTTTATATGGTAAAGGAGGACCTTTTTACAGTGGGTTGCAGTAGGCAGCCATAGCCTTAGAGTGGACCTTAGTTTATATGGTAAAGAAGGACCTTGAGACTGAAGGGGGCACTTATTGCTTACAATTGTGTCCCTTAAATATACTGTAATAGTCTTAGGACTTCTGTTAAAAAGGTCCTTTATTTAGAAACCATTTAGTTAGCATGGTAGCGGACCGCCTCCGTGGTGTAGTGGTTAGAGTGTCCGCCCGGAGAGCGGAAGGTCGCGGGTTCGATCCCCGACCGCGTCATACCAAAAGACGTTAAAATATGGTACTTGTTGGTCTCTGCCTGGCTCTCGGCATTAATGGGTACAACAAGGACAGGTCTGCTCGGAGTCAGTATAATGTGTCTGAGTGGGGTATTCATGCTTCACTGCGGCATGGTATCTCAGTGGGCTAGCACTATAAAACCAGCTTCAGTCTGGGCTAGTACAAGCAGTTGCACATACACGTAAACACGCATGCACTTCGTCATATGAGCGAAATATTCTCAAGCACGATGTTAAACCCAATTTCACCTCACCTCACCTAGCATGGTAGCCATTACACTTCCGCCATGGGAGATCACTCTACTTGGAAGTTTGGAGTCAACTGTGACTAAACTTTGACTTAATTGTAACCCAACAACTTTGATGTCAATGTGATGTTCAATAAATTCGTTGCTGTCCCTCTTGTTCTGAAGAAAGTTTAATGCTGTTGGGAAGTGAAATTTTATGTGGTCATACATTTTACCAGCCTGACTTTCATCAATGACTTTTAGTTTGTGTGTTTATGTCACATGTTCCTGTGTGCTGTAAAGAGGGTTAGCTGTAATACACTGTGTTTGTCTTATTGGGCAACACCTGTCTGATGCAATTTTGTTGTAGTTAAAAGTTATGTTATTGCCCCCATTGTAGCACTGCTGATGATGCTGATTCTTACTGTATTGTTTCATATGGATACAGTGTGTATGGTATATTCGGAGGAACTGAACAAATGTGTCCTGGGCACCCTCTGTGGTATGTTGGTTGTGTGCATAATGCGGATGGTCAGTCCACCTCTGTGGTACTGGAGTCAGTGCGTGTCAGTCCACCTCCACCTCTATGGTACTGGAGTGGAGTCAGTGTCAGTCCACCTCTGGTGGTACTGGAGTCAGTAAGTGTCAGTCCACCTCTGTGGTACTGGAGTCAGTACGCGTGTCAGTCCACCTCTGTGGTACTGGAGTCAGTAAGTGTCAGTCCACCTCTGTGGTACTGGAGTCAGTACGTGTCAGTCCACCTCTGTGGTACTGGAGTCAGTACGTGTCAGTCCACCTCTGTGGTACTGGAGTCAGTAAGTGTCTGTCCACCTCTGTGGTACTGGAGTCAGTACGTGTCAGTCCACCTCTGTGGTACTGGAGTCAGTACGTGTCAGTCCACCTCTGTGGTACTGGAGTCAGTAAGTGTCTGTCCACTCTGTGGTACTGTGTCAGTCCACCTCTGTGGTACTGGAGTCAGTACGTGTCAGTCCACCTCTGTGGTACTGGAGTCAGTACGTGTCAGTCCACCTCTGTGGTACTGGAGTCAGTACGTGTCAGTCCACCTCTGTGGTACTGGAGTCAGTACGTGTCAGTCCACCTCTGTGGTACTGGAGTCAGTACGTGTCAGTCCACCTCTGTGGTACTGGAGTCAGTACGTGTCAGTCCACCTCTGTGGTACTGGAGTCAGTACGTGTCAGTCCACCTCTGTGGTACTGGAGTCAGTAAGTGTCAGTCCACCTCTGTGGTACTGGAGTCAGTAGAAGTGTCAGTCCACCTCTGTGGTACTGGAGTCAGTACGTGTGTCTGTCCACCTCTGGTACTGGTCAGTACTGGAGTCAGTGCGGAGTGTAAGTGTCAGTCCACCTCTGTGGTACTGGAGTCAGTACGTGTCAGTCCACCTCTGTGGTACTGGAGTCAGTACGTGTCAGTCCACCTCTGTGGTACTGGAGTCAGTACGTGTCAGTCCACCTCTGTGGTACTGGAGTCAGTAACCTCTGTGGTACTGTCAGTCCACCTCTGTGGTACTGGAGTCAGTACGTGTCAGTCCACCTCTGTGGTACTGGAGTCAGTACGTGTCAGTCCACCTCTCTGTGGTACTGGAGTCAGTACGTGTCAGTCCACCTCTGTGGTACTGGAGTCAGTACGTGTGTCAGTCCACCTCTGTGGTACTGGAGTCAGTACGTGTCAGTCCACCTCTGTGGTACTGGAGTCAGTACGTGTCAGTCCACCTCTGTGGTACTGGAGT